GAGCGTCTTTATTCAAACTGACATTTGTGGTGGACAGACAAGGCAGAGGGACCTGACAGGTCCGTCTCAGCCGGGCTTTAGACGAGCTGACTTTTAGTACTTCAAATACTCCCAGACAGATGTGTCACTTAACCACTTATGGAGAACAAAACGTGCAACAGAACTCTGGCCCTGCATATTTAAAATGATAGAACTCTACAAAGAGACTCTTGACTCACCTGAGGAGAAAAACCTCTGTGTCTGCAAGGGGGCAAATGGATGAAGAATGGAAGTTGCGAAGGCAAAACAGAGTGTTTCTCATCATTCATCGTAGTGTACTTTGGGGAGTGTGTCTTCTGAGGAATGGCTTTTGTGACATTTTCACTGTGAGTATGAAAGGCACACAGCAGGTCTGTGATGGGATGGCAGCCCCGTATATTAAAAGCTAATAAATCAATTTCTGGAAGCAGGGACTGAAGACAGTTTATTTCTGCTACAGCTACATTATCCATTAATGCCTTTTAAATCATAAATTGAAATAAAACGGCAAATATCAAAAAGCAGCGAATATTTTCTGATTTTCCCATCGCACCCATAAGATTCCTGGTTAAAGATTAAATTCCTTTTTTTTTTAATGTTACAGGACATGCTATCAGTTCAGGTTTTATCAGTATGAAGAATGAAATGGCAGCTGGGGATGATTTTATATCAAGCTGTGAAGCAATCATTTTTCTTGCAAATATGTTTTGTGTTCCTGTCCTCCGCCGCAAATGAACAGGTTTTTTTCAGATCTGGCGGCGAGGATATCTGCTCCAGGAAATATAAAGTTTCATTCTATCTCGTTGCTGAAATTCTACTTTTTGATAAATCAATTCTCTCTTCTCCCATCTGAGGCAAATTCAAAAACAACCCTCACCTGCCGCCCCCACTCCTCCATCCTGTCTCTTTTCTGTCTCCCTCACCCCAGCTTCCCTAACGTGTGCCTTTTTAAACTTTAATCATCTCACATTCAGTACTTTTCACTAACCATCACAAGGTGATCTGGGTTTTTTCAAAAGACATCTCCTGCTTTTAGTCTGGCCCTTAACAAAGCTTCAGTGATTTCAGAATCTCAGTCTGTTCGTTACCCAGCTTCTAGAATGATGTTCACATGACATGTTTTTCATGTACAAGCCTGATGCACATTCAATTTACTTCAGTTAGCCCTTAAGGAACCAGGTTTTCGTTATAGGTGAGAAGATGTACGTAGTTGCAGAAGAAAGTTGCAGAAAGAAGAAGAAAAAAAAAAGCCAGAGATTTTTCAGACTTTTCTTTTTCTTTCTGATTGTGTCAGAGTAAGGCCTTGACACCTGCTGTTCTCTCAATACCATGTTGTGTTGGTCACAGCATGGGGTCTGCTCAAATCCATTGACTAGCTGACTTTTGGAAAATCAATGTCTAACAAGACACATTGTGTGATTTAGTTTCAAGACTTAGTCTGGGTGCTACTAGGGTTCACATTTTTTCCTGCATGATGTCAGCTGAGCTAAAAATATATATATATTTTTTTTAAATAATATTTAAAATACATGACAAGATGGAGAATACAGTCATTTTTAATTTCCCGTGATTGTAGCGTTGAAAGAAAAGTATTAACAAATGGAGCAACAATCTATTCACGGAAAATCAAGCCCAGGTAGGGAGATCTGACACTGGAAAATGGCATCCTTTCATAATAATGTGAGTGGAAAATAAGGCAGTCAGAAGAAATAAATGTATAGCACTTTCGCCCAGACGTGCTCGCCGGATCAGAACGTTTTATTTAGCCTCGTTGAGAAAAAAGTACTTAAATTGACTTTCAGCAGCAGGCATCAGATCGAATCCCTGTCAGCCTGAGATGAAACAGTGGGAGATATTTTCACTAAAGCTGCAGTAACACTTGTTGCTGATGATGGCTTGAGGTAGATAAAAGGCTAGGCAACGGTTATCAAAGTTGGGAGCACAGACCCTTAGGTGTGCACCCACCCACCTAAAACGTTTGGGGTTTCAGTTTATAGCTTTTTATTGTTGAGAAAATGTTTTTCTATTTTAGAATTTTTTTACTTTTTTTATTTAGTTTTGTACAATGGGGATATCATTTTCTTTGGAACTACAATATTTAAAATAGAGTTCAGTGGAGTTTCAAGTCCAAAAATAAAATTCAATCATGACAAAACCACAAAAAAAAAAATCCATGTACACAAAAAGACTAAGCGCTCTAGATAGAGAAAAATGATGTTGGAATCATTAAAGTCTAAAAGGTCTCTTATTGCATCAGAGCACTACATCCTCCTGACCAGTACAACAAAGGCTCGGAACAACATCAACCTGTTTGGATTATTTATAGCAACATAACAACATAATGAGATGCCCACGGGCTAAATAAAAATCCAATTCCGCAGGAAGGAGACAGATTTGTAGATAAGAGACCAAATTTTCAAAGTAAACATGGAATAAATATTTGACTTAAACACTAAATTAAAAAAAAGAACAATACAAATGAAGCAGCACAGAAGCAGTACATGCACTCCTTATGTCCCTATTTATTTGTGCTTTGAATATTAACTGTACTCCTGCACCTTTGCCCAACTAGGATTTGAGGAGGAAATAATTCTAGTTATTAATTACCAGGGGAGGACGGATTAAAGCAGTAATATTAGAAGATCAGGGACCATGAAGGGAAATCCATGTCTGAGTGGACTTTCTTTGGGAAGACATTTTTAAGTCATGTTTAAGCTGATTAAATTCCAGCCTGGACCAATGTTCACTATTAATGATTATACATGTTTAAGGTATTCCACAATTAAAAAATACACAGAACAGGAACAAATGTTGATGTTGTAGGTTTGATTAGAGACAAACATAGAATCAACAGTGTCTTCTTTGGTTCTGTCTGTTAGTAATATTTAAGGCCTACGTTTTTTTCAAATAATACATTTGATTTGATTTTTTTTATTTAATAATGAATAAAAAAATACTTATTATTATGTATTATTCAGAACTTCAGAATCTGTGTGATTTCGCATTCAAAGTGGAAACCTGGTATACGGCAATTTCAATTTCATTACAGTTTTCACTGTTTCACAGAGCAGACACTGCAAAAAAAAAAAACAAATTTATTAGCAGAAGACAAAGTTAAATGGTTAAATATGACATTACTGAAGAGGACTGTCTGTGATAATTCCATTCCCATGGCAACGGCATGAAAATATTTGAAAATAATTAACGGCGGTGCAGAACCACAGTTCAACCGTACTATAAATCAGTGCTTAATGATTTGGGTCAGGATTGACTCAGTGTGTGAGCAGATGGCACTGTTTTAACACTCACATCTGTGACCTGCACGCAGAGTGAGGGTCTGCGCGACGACAGGCGAGCGCTTCTGAAAATTATTTAGATGTACAGAGTAAAGTAACAGATACAACTGCGCAGTGTCCCGACGACGGTCTCCGTGTTTATGAAGTGAGATCAATGAAAGCCTGTCAGCTTTCTACTGTAGCCACGGTCAAAGCCGAGACTCGCGGACCACAGAGAGAGCAACAACATCCGTTCATCAGACTCCCTTTGACCCCCAGCTGCTTTGATCGAAGATAAGGAAAAAAAAATAGGGAAAGCAAGTGGGGACGTCAGACGGCAAAGAAGAACACACAGATACAGTCTTCTTTAGTGTTGGCCAGCTCTTGAGGGCTCTGCATCGCCTCTATGTCACAATTAAAGCAGCACACACACACACACACACACACACACACTCGGCTTTTCCCTCTGTTGAATCTCACTGGAATCTGCTGGCAGATTTACAAAGGACTGTCAGAGGGAAGACAAAGTAGAAAGGTATATTCAAGAGTAGCACTAACTGAGAGGGCATCCAGTTCCAGAGATCTGCATAATATCACACACTCTCACGTATGCTGCACCTAAACAAATGTGTGCTTACATGCAAGGCACAGCATCTAATTGTTCTGGCAGCTCCTGAATGATAACAATGGTCACAATGGGAGTTTGGTGGACTCTGTCAGGATGTATGTAATTATTCGGCTGCACAAAAGAAAGGGCAGATGTGGTGCCAGAGTAGATTTACTGCGTCTACGGTCACTGAATTCACTAGAATACCTAATGATACACTTACAGGCTAAATTACCCAGCCGTTGTTTACCTCTGCTTTTAGAGCGCTGGCTGCACAAAGAGCAAGAAACCGCCAATGCGCTGGAGGGAAAATGTCCCAGATTGATTCTCTTCAAATTAGTTCAAATTAAAATAAATGATCTGATGGTGAGGTTGAGTGGTGAATGAAGATAAACAGTGTGCATGAAAACAGAGAGGCTGCTTTTGCTTTTTGGTAAAAGACTTTTGCTGAAAGATTTTCTTTTACATCTTTTGTTCAATGATCAACATTTAATTCGAATTAGGGATCAATGCACCGAAACCGTATGAAAAGTCTCATTAAAATGCCTTATAAACTCAACTGGATCATTAGCTTTACCTAAAAAAAATCACCTGTTTCTGAGAGATGTGTTTTTATAGAAAACATGTTGGGTGACCCTGTTTTTTTTTTTCCAGTAACTAAAAGCACTAGCTCTGACAGCAGCTACTGTCAGAGGTCATATACATAATGAAAAAGGAAATTACGGACCAAAAGAAAAAAGCAGGGACAGGCCGCGGAGAGAAAATGAAGATGGAAGAAAAATGGTGGTCCAAGAATAGAGCACTGTATATAGAGAGCACAGAAAGTAGCAGGGCCTGAGCGGGGATAAAGAATGAGAGTGCAGAACTCTGAGGTGAGGGGGAACAGGAGAGAGAGAGGGAGGACAAAAATAAAGAAGGGGACTGGAAACCTTGAAAGCATGGAGAAAAGTTGTCATTCCAGGCTGGGGAAGTTTTTCTAAAAGTTGTCACGGTGAGAGACAACTAGTAAATAGAACCTTGACAGGCTGGGAGGAAACACAGAGAGGTTCCCAGGTCAGCTGTAGCAGGTGTTTCCACACCTCGTCTGATGGAGTTCCTACCTTTGCCGATGCTGAAGCCACTGATCCTGCCGCCGTGATGCCTCGCTTGACCGCTATGTCGCTGCTGGATGTTGTCACGGCAACTGTAACCGGGGTGGGGAGGAGGGAGGGAATGACTGGAAGTGGGAGAAGTCCCGGACGGTTGTTGCCATTGACAACAGCAGAGGCACAGCTATGATTGGCTCCTCCATTGTGGAGGCCAGAAGGACGGATGTCTCTCCGCTCCCAGGGTCCACGATAGTCCCTCTCAAAGCGGTGGTGGTGGCGTGACATCACTTCCTCTTCGTCTCAGAGGGAACAACAGGGGCAGGCCTGCAGGAAATGGAACACGTTTTATTATGTGGATGCAAATAGAGGTAAAAGACACAGGAAATATGTGAAACAGAGGGGAAACTACTATCAGGAGAAGATGTTGACATCGTGGTGTAGGTGCTCACAGCCTCTGCCCCCACTGCACCTGACTGACATGAACACACTGAGGCCCATTTGTTGCCTCTAATTTCTGTTCTCAGAGGACTGCAACAAAAGAGGAAAGAAAATAACAAGGCTGCTGCTCAGGTTTATAACAAGCAGCCACAGATCCATTACCATGAGACCTGAGGTTTGTTGTGTGAATAATGATAATAATGATAATAATAATTTGAACGTGATTGGTGATAACAGCAGATCTGCTCTGCTGTAACAAAATGCCCCACGGAGGTGCCATGTTTGTGTTTCTTCTGGGGCTCAAACCCATGACCTTCTGCTCATGATGCAGACGCGTAAGCAGGCGTGAAGCTACACTTTGGAACCACAAAAAATCGAGGTTCAACAACCAGAGGTTATGACAACACAGGAGAGCAGCAGCATCATGACCTTGTGGTCAACGCTTATTTATCTGAAGAGGTGAATACGCCCTGCAATTACAGCTCCTCCCATACATGTAACGACAGATTCATTAAATCAGCTCGTCCTTGAATTACATTTATGTGCCCCCCACACACACACACTCCTCTTCTTACAGTTACAGTAGGCTGTCATAGGTTAAGCTGAAGTTACATCAGTATGGTGTACGGCGCTGTTGTGTAGCAGGAGATCACTCCACATTATATCACGAATCAAAGCAAAGCAGGATCTGAGCAGTGAAATACATGACTGAGACTTTTTTTCTCTCCCTTCTTTGGATTTTACTACTCTTCACCAAAGTCATCTCATGCTTTGCGAGCCCTTGATAACGGATTAAATAAATAAAAAACAACCTCAAACCAGGTTCAGTCAGCCCGACGCAAACTCCCCTGGTCTGTGAGGAGAAAACGACAGTGGAAGATAAGTCTTTATTCTGCACGCTGGGGTCTGTCACGCTGTTTTCTTTGACTCACAGAGGAGCAAACTCCTTGAAATGCCAGGCTCCACTGTGTGTGTCTCCATGAAAGTGAGCGCACAATCGCACTACATACTCCAACCGTACCAGTCCATAACTTTTTGACGGGATGTAATGAGAACATGTGTGTCTAATACTGCGCTGTGGTGTGTGAAAAGGCCGATGAAAATGAAACTTTTGTTTTTGTTGCTGTTGTTGGGGCTTCTTTGACAAGATATACACCTTTCAGCCTTTGGTGGGAGCATTGGAACCACTGTATTAGCAAGCAAGTACTTAGTGTTAAGACTCACTCTTTCTATTCTACTCTACTATCAAACTCCATTTTATATCCACTTTCTTTTTCTCATCCAATTTCCCCACCATAAACACGCCGGCTCCATCCAAACATGGAAATCTGATGCACAAAAATAGAATCAGAGGCTGCAACTCCCAGTCTTCCTCTCTCCCCTCCGTGCTGTGACCCCTTTTAATAACCTCTTTTCAATAAACCAAGCCTGCATTATCTCTGAAAACATATTCGATACAGTGGAAAACAAGGTTCTAGTCTGGTGGAACAATAGCACGGTTACTGCCAGGTAATATCCTCTTATCTGCCACACAGCACACTTTTGCTGCCAAAGCCAGAAAATGAGCCCACATGAAAATTGAAGGAGGAGAAAAGGTGGAAAAAATAAAGGGATTTTTTTGTTTTATCCAGATAATGAAGAATCTGAGGGCAGATTTTATTTTTATTTACAGCATTTGGTTCTTCTGGGACTCAAACCCAAGACCCTCTGCATGTAAGGCAGATGTGGGCGCAGGCCGGATAACCGCTACACTATTGTATGTCCCCTTAAGGTGGAAAGAAGCCTGTCACACCAAAGGACAAACCCATGTCTTGAGTGAATATTTTAAATTGAACTTGACATGTACAGCTACTAAAAGAAGATGAAATATTTGCCTGAAAATAATCTAATCTGAGTTTTTTCTTTTAAATATACAGCCATAGAATCCATCCTACAGAACCCTTCAGTCCGTTCCTCCTGGACTTGTAAGTACACTGGTTCATTTGACATGAAACTTACATTCAATTAAATCAAATGAAACAAGTCCAAAACTTGGATGCTTAAGAGATTAAATGGCCTTTGAACTCGGGGCTACTCCCACATCCAAATATTTAATTAATGCAGCGCTGCTCTTTGATTTACAGTATGGCCCACGAGGGCTTAAACCACAGTCAGATATGAAAAAGGCAGCTTTGACATCTGCACATTTTCACAGCCCTTATCTTCACGGTGCAACTTATTCTTCCTTTAAGAGCGCCGTGGGCTTCATTAGGCGGGGGGTACACACACCAATAACGCCGTTGTTTTTCTGGAGAGGAGCCTCTCACATTACCATCACACACATTCTCTCACTCACTAACCCAAGTGTCATTTACAGAATCTTGACACATTTCCACATGCGCACGAGCCCTCTGAGAAATTCCCCTCGTCATCTCCTCCACTCTGCATGTCAGCGTGCGTTCGGAGGTGAGCAACCAATCACACGCAGAGCGAGTGTCATCAACATGAATCCTCACCATACTACGGTCCTCGGGAAACACAAACACAGTCTAAATAATTATAACAAACAGCACTTAGTTCCTGTGTGTGTCGGCGTGTGTTCAACCGTCACCTTGAGACTGAGTGTTCACTGAGTGCTTGTGCAAAGGAGTGATAAAGAAAATATTTCGGTCTCTCAGTGGGTAAAACCGAGGCTCCGGACACCTGTGGACTCTGCCAGATCAGATAAACACTTAAATACATCACATCACCACTGAACACTGTGCTCTGCAAACCCCTGCTCCAGGGAGAAGGTGCCAATAAAGATTTGCCCGTTTCCTTTCACATCCAATGAAGTCACTGTCAGCCGCGGACAAGACAATGGTCTTTGAGGAGAGAGATGATAACCTCTGCTGCAAGGCTGGCATATTAAGCCAGCCTTTTAAAGAGCCTTTTCAGTTTTATAAGGAACAAATGACAGTATTTCAGTCATACCCTACAGCCATTAATGAGGCTCTTCAGCTCCCGCAATCCTGTCAGCATATTAATAATCCTACCTGAAGGTATAAATTTCTCATCCCAAATATTATTTCCTGACTCTGCTTCTCTGCTTAAAATATTGGCAAAGATTTTTTTTTTTTTTTTGCAGGAGTGTAAGAAAAACGAAATAGGAGATTAAATTAAAAAAAAAAAAAATTACAAATCCAGATCTGATCATTAACAAAAAGGCCAACACACAACAAACATAAAAGTGAGAAATACCATGTCAGCAATGTAATCTAATGAGCTTACTGGAATCTTAATTGTGCAATTGTGGTACACTGGGGCATTTTTGACTCTTGTTTCCAAAATTGCTCGTTCTACAGCTGCTAACGTGCCAGAATGTTCCAAATTAAACTAATAAAGTGGAATGTGGCGCGGCGTGTGAGGAAGAGAAATACAGACGAAGACCAGGAGAGGGAGATTTAGATTTAAATGAATTACTCACATTTTTTGCATTGTGATGTCATTACAATAGAAGGGGGGTGGGTCAAAGTCAATCACTCAAGGGATGGAAAGTCTCTGGGGTGGCCAGATATCTAATGACATCTGACTCATTCAACCGACCCCATAAACATTGACTCTAAACCACAGACTTTTAACAGAACCACACCGATGAATAAATATCCTTTGGTGGGCCACACTAAATAATATAGTCAGGTTTGGCCCACGGGCCTTGAGCCCTTGAGATGTTCCAGGGTGTGGTGACACTGAAGTCAATAGAATATACCAATAATGTTCCAGGGTGTGGTGACACTGAAGTTATTTTATGGCTGACAATCCCGAACAACGCGGCGTTAAGGGGGTTACGCTAAAATAAAGTTGCCTAGCTAGCGGGAACTTGAGACAGGCACCTTTAGGAACAGCATCTGTCACTGCGAGGACACACGCGATGTGTTGGTTGTGTGTGACATAGCTGTGTTAACAACGCCAAGTGGGAATACGCACAGGGCTGCAGACAGACGCAAGGAAAATAGGATCATAGCAGATGGACCGAACGTGGCGGCGGTGGAGAGAGTGTTAAAAAAAACACGAGCATCACATAATAGCACAGAGCAGTGTGTAAGGCCTTAAATAGAGGCAGGCGTTAGGGGCGGGGGCTGGAAAGGGTGCAGTGGGTTGTGTGTCATACTTCTGTTCTGGGGTGTGATGTTTGCTCTGGTGGCACATTGTAGACCAAGCTTAAAACCTCCAGCCTCTCCGACAGTGACTGATACTCCCAGAGAGAGGGAAGGAGAGAGCTCTATTTCCAGTCTGCGGTACAGTTTACTTATATTGACCCAGTGACACACACACAGACACACACCGACACACACACACACACGTACACTCACAGACTGCTAATGATCAATCCATCCATCAGCAAGTTGGATGGTACAAATGAGTGCCAGCTAAAGTAGACATGCTGTAACTTTACAAGGACAAGAAATTGCTGTAAATGAGCGGCCTGGTGGGACCTACTCACCGACTGCCACACATGCACACAAACACCGCCACGGTGACAGGCGCACGCGCCTGTGCACGTCTGGCGCGCACGGGGTGCAATACAAATGCACAGCAGGAGATGTGCTGACAGTTCCTCCAGGACAACTGAGGTATTCATTCAAATATTTAAATAATGAGCGAGACGGTCGGTACAGGAATAGCCCAGAGCGAAATGAGCTGGAGTCTCAAACTTTTTTTTTTTTCTCCTTTCTATACCTCTTCCTCAGTTAGACACAGGAGATGAAGACGCCATCTCAATTTGGACGTGTGTATGTGGGTAAATATACATGGGAGCAAAATTTATTAAGTAAGAAAACACTCTTAGTTATATGGTTAAGAGTTTTCTTTTACGGTGACACAGGAATTCTTTTCACTTTGGTGAAATATTGATTGATGAGGTAAAC